ACACAGAGAAACCCTGTCTTGAAGCCCCTTTGCTCCAAAAAAAATTAGTGGCTGTAGGGGTGTGAGCTTATATACACACACTCAAATTTATTTCATTAGTCAATGTATCTATTTTTATGCCAGTACCATGAACTTTTTATTACTATAGCTCTGTAGTATAGCTAGAAATCTGGAATGGTGAGACCTCTGACAGATTTTGTTTTTTGTTTTCGCTTTGTTTTATTTTTGTTCTGTTGTTGTTCAGGACTTCCTCCTCCTCCTCCTCCTCCTCCTCCTCCTCCTCCTTCTCCTCCTCCTTCTCTTCATGTCCTGGTTGTTTTATGTTTCCATATGAAATCTAAGATCATTTTTCTAACTTCTGTGAAGCATTGCTTGGGAATTTTGAGGCAGACCTCACTGAATTCTTAGATTGCTCTTGGTAGGATGACCATTTCCACAGTATTAACCCTGCCAATCCATGAGCATGGCGAGTCTTTACACTGGGATCTTCTCTAATTTCTTTTTCAATGTCTTAAAATGTTCACTGCATAAGTCTTTTACTTCTTTTGTGAGGCTATCATGGGTGATGTTGTTTCTCTGATTTCTTTTCCTTGATACCTGTCCTTTGTGATTGGGAAGACTAATGATTGTTGTTGTTAAACAACTCTAGAATACTTAATCAAAAAGGTTCTACTAAAGCCCTCTTTTGAGTTGGTGGTCATGGTTGTTCCAGAGGCCCCTCAAATATTATAGGCTATTGCTATTGACCATGGTTGCTTCCCAAGTGTGGAAGGTAAGTCCCTGTCGCTAAAGACACCATATTAGACAGTGACCACAACAGAGTGATCATCACAGATTGGCATTTACATAGTGCCTATCACATCATTCAGTGTTCCTCACAGCATGGCCATGACACAGTCACATTCACGTGGCAGCCACCACATAGTGGACATAACTCCGTGACCATAACATAGTGGTCATCACACTTCGACAATATTTAGAGCTACAGGCAACTAAGGACTGATGAGAACGGAGGAAACAGTCTTCCCCAGGGAAGAATACACCAATTTTAGATATGTATATAACAATGATTAATGTTGTCACCTGCTGTATACTCCTACGGCCCTTGGCACCAGGGAAATTTCTCAAAATCAACTATGTATTAAGACACAAAGGAAGCCTCACCAAATGCAGGGAAATTGAAATCACACCCTGCCTTCCACCTGACCGTAATGGAGCAAAGCCTTGTGCGAACAGCAGTGGAACCCACGGAGAGTACACAAACAGGTGGAAACGAAGCAACATGCTATAGAACGGTTGTTGGGCCAAGGATAAAAACCAAGAAGGAAAACTTAAAAATCCTAGGACTGGCCGGGCGGTGGTGGCGCACGCCTTTAATCCCAGCACTCGGGAGGCAGAGGCAGGCGGATCTCTGTGAGTTCGAGGCCAGCCTGGACTACCAAGTGAGTTCCAGGAGAGGCGCAAAGCTACACAGAGAAACCCTGTCTCGAAAAACCAAAAAAAAAAAGAAAAAAAAAATCCTAGGACTGGCCGGGCGGTGGTGGCGCACGCCTTTAATCCCAGCACTTGGGAGGCAGAGCCAGGCAGATCTCTGTGAGTTCGAGGCCAGCCTGGGCTACAGAGGGAGTTCCAGGAAAAGCGCAAAGCTACACGGAGAAACCCTGTCTTGAAAACCAAAAAAAAAAAAAAATTCCTAGGACTGAATGAAAACGAAGATACAATGTAACAAGATGTATGCGACACAGTGAAGGCAGTCCTAAGAGGAAAGCTGATAGCCCGTGTGCCTACACCTAACAATTCAAGAGCTCACAAAGTAACAACTTAGTGACACACCTCAAGGCCTCGGAAAAACAAGAACAAATGCCGAAAAATGTAGCTGGGAAGAGATCATCAAAATCAGGGCTAAAATCAGGGAAATAGAAATGAAAAAACGACACAAAGAATGAATAAGAGCTGATTCTTTGAAAAGAGTAACAAATTTGACTTTTAACTAAATTAACCATTAGAGAGAAAGAATCCAAGGTAAAAAGTTTAGAGACGCAAAGGGAGAGATTACAACCTACATTGAAGAAATGTACTGCTTTTAATGAAAAAGTTCAAGTGTGTGCATGGCATACCCTGTAGATGTGTTAGGTCTATTTTGATTTGTAATTTGTTTAACTCCAGAGTTTCTGTGTATTTCTGTTTTTCTGGATGACATTCAGATGAAAAAGATCTGCCATGTTACGGGTAGTCCTGCTATTTGAAACCCTGGTGTCCATCTATTTGGTTTAGTTAAAGAAACACTTCATTAGCCGGGTGGGGGTGGTGCATGCCTTTAATCCCAGCACTTAAGAGGCAGAGGCAGGCGGATCTCTGTGAGTTCAAGGCCAGCCTGGTCTACAGAGTGAGATCCAGGAAAGGCACCAAAACTACAGAGAAACCCTGTCTCAGAAAACCAAAAAAAAAAAAAAAAAAAAAAAAAAAAAAAAAAAAAAAAGAAAAGAAAAGAAACACTTCATTATTATATATACCCCCAAATTGGATGTGTTGGTACGCACCTGTAATGCTAGCACCCACCCAGTAGAGGGACGCAGGGGAATTAGAAGGTCAAGGTTATCCTTGGCTACATACTGAGTCTGAGGCCAACCTAGGCTGAGAGTCTGTCTCAGAAATAAAACAAACAAACAGACAGACAGAACCCAACTATGTAACTTCTGTCTATTGATGTTTTACAAAGGCATTACTTCTAACAAAATAATATAAATAGTAATTTTTTTTTTAAGATACTAGAATATAACCCACAGGACAGACAGATTTCAACTCCAGAACAGATTCCAGCTGAGGCTGACCTAAGAGCATTCTAAGCCACCTGATGCTTGAATTTGACATAAAAGGGGCTTTATTGACAATGACTCCCTAATGTCTGTCAATCCCTGTTTTAGGGTTTCTATTGCTGTGATTTAAAAAAAGAAAGAAAGAGAGAGAGGGAGAGAGAAAGAAAGAGAGAGGAAGAGAGAGAGAGAGAGAGAGAGAGAGAGAGAGAGAGAGAGAGAGAGAGAGAGAGAGAGAGAGGAAGGAAAGAAGGAAGGAAGGAAGGAAGGAAGGAAGGAAGGAAGGAAGGAAGGAAGGAAGGAAGGAAGAAAAGAAAGAAGACCAAAAGCAACTTGGGGAGGAAAAGGTTAATTTCAGGTCGCACTTCCATCACTGAGGGAAGTCAGGGCAGGAACCTGAAGGCAGGAGCTGAAGCAGAGACCATGGAGGAACACTGTTTCCAGCTTGCTCCTCATGGCTGGCTCAGCCTGCTTCTTATAAGACTCAGGACCCCCACAGAAAGTTGGTCCCTCCCATAGTCATCATTAATCAAGAAAATGCCTTACGGAGATCCCTACAGGCAATCTGATGGAGGCATTTTACCAATTCAGGTTCCTCTAGCTTGTGTAAAGGTGACATCATTATCATCATAGTAATAATAATAATAATAATAAAAATAAACCTCAACCACGACATTCTCCAGTATGGGGTCAGATCAAACCAACAGGGACATATCTGGAAACGTGGAATAGCCAAAACCAAACCACTGGTTTATCAGTGCTGTCTTCAGAGAAAGCTGTTCAAGGACCAGGGAGGAAGCTGTCGGAACCCAAATGAACTACACTGGGCATGGTGGTGCTTGCCTGTAACCTGGGAAGCTGGGAGACGACAGCTAGAGGATGGGTTTCAGGCTAGCACGCACTTCATTACAAGACCGTGTTTCAAAGCCAGCAACAGAACCAGTCACTGGTGCCAACCCTTCGGAAAGTGACTAAGACCGAGAGGTTGTGTGGGGGGAAATAATTCTTAGGCACAGTTATTAGACACAAATTTATGTGTCCCGACCTTGGCTCCTACTTCTATTCTGTTTATATTTGTTTCAGAAACTGGTATATTTCAGAAATTTTTACAGCAAATCCAGAATATCACCCTAATTCAACTGTCTAAAGAGGGAAGCTTAACTGCCCTGGCAAAAGAGGAGATCTTCTAGAGAGTCACATGTCCCTCCTTTGGCCATCAGTATAGAAAGATAATCCTTCCCGCCTGCTGGTACCCGAATAACCAGTAAGAGGCTTAATATTAATTACAAATTGTTTGTTTATGGCTCAGGCTTCTCGATAGCTAGGTCTTTCATCGTTAATTAACCCATTTCTATTGATCTATGTTTTGCCACATGACCGTGGTATTACCGGTCTGCTGGCATCTTGTTCCTTGGGCGCCGGGCTGGTGTCTGCCCTGACTCTGCCCTTCTTCTCTGTGTATTTTTCATTGGATTTCCCACCTGGCTATAACCTGTCTTGCCATAGGCCAGAGCAGCTTCTTTATTAATCAATGGTAGCAACACATATTCACAGCATACAGAAAGACCATCCCACAGCACATCGGACTACATGAAAATGGTCCATATGGTCCTTCCAATACATAAAACCCAGGAATTAAATCTTTAAATAACGTCTTATTCAAAGAGTCCACACTCAGAAGTCGGAGCAAAAGTTGCTTCCCAGGATTCCTTCTAGAGTTTCTCTAGAGAACCAGAGCAGAGATGATGAATCCAAGTTCAGTCTTAACCTTGTGTCCAGATGGAGCTGGTTTCTGAGATTTCCCCATTATCGTCTTTTGTAAGTTATACTGCCATCAGTTGGTAGAGATGTGGATGGCACCTTGGATACTTGATTTCCCAATTTTTGTTTCCCAAGCTTTAAAGGATAATCAGGCCCTGCCTGAACCTCTGTGTGTACATGTAGGGCTTTCTTTGGCTTGCCAGTGATATAAGAGGTTCATTCTCCTCTCCTACTGCCCCTCCACCTGTTGGTTTGACAACAACCAATCTGCACACTTTCTGCAGACCTCTTCTTCCATCAGCCCTTAGTTAAACCAGACCCTGGGATGAGGGCTGGACCTCTAATGCACCCTTCTGCCCACCGCATGCCAGAGGGAAGTGCCTACTGCCGTCTGCTCTCCTAACTCTCCACTCCCTATCCCTGTAGATGACCTCTTCCTACACAGCCACCACCACCATCACAGCACCTCCCTCTGGAGTCACGCAGAAAGGAAGAGAGAAGTTAAAGACGATGCCCCTCTACCTGGAAGAAGATATCCGTCCTGAAATGAAAGAAGACATACATGACCCCAGCTACCACGATGAGGAGGGACCCCCGCCCAAGCTGGAGTACGTCTGGAGAAACATCATCCTCATGGCCCTGCTGCACTTGGGGGCCCTGTATGGGCTTGTGCTGGTTCTCTCCTGCAAGGTCTACACCTTGCTCTGGGGTAAGTACGTTTCTTCATTCTGGGCCAGTGTCTCAAGTTTCTCCCCTCCCTCTAAGGAAAGGGGTCTTGCAATGAGCAGTGGCCCCTCTGTGTCTAGCTTTCCCTATGTCTCTTTTGTTTTCTTTCTCTCTCTCTCTCTCTCTCTCTCTCTCTCTCTCTCTCTCTCTCTCTCTCTCTCTCTCTCTCTCTCTCTCTAATGGGACAGGTTCTCATGTAGCCCAGGCTGGCTGGCAACTCACTCCATAGCAGAGAATGACCTTAGGTCTCTGATTTTCTGGGTCTGCATCCCAAGTGCAGACATTACAGCGACCATCACCACGACTGTTTTGTTCGTTTGATTTTTCAGAATCTCACTCTGTCACCTAGGCTCTCCTGGAATTCTCTATGCAGTCCAGGCTGGCCTTGAACCCATGGTAATCCTCCCGCCTCATCCTGCTGGGATTATATCCTGAGCTACCACATCTGACAAAAGTAGCCTGGGGTGTTTCCTTGTTCTTTGTAAGCGCAGGACCCTGGGCATACTGGACAGGTACTCTACCCCTGTGTCCTATCCTTAACCCTTGGGGGTACTTTACATGACTGTTGGGAACCAAGCCCCGAAACCATGAGCAGGACTCACTGAGGGGTAGCACCTTGGCAATGAGGCAACCAGCCCCAACCAAATTTTCTGTGTGAATCCCTTGCTTGGCTGCCTGTCCCAGCCCTTCCTGCCACAGGAGAACCAGGCCGTCCCTGGGGGACATGGGGAAAGGTACCTTACCAACTCCATGAGCTAAATGTTGAGCTCAGTCAGGGGACACAAGAGATGCTGAACAGGAGGAGAAGTCATTGAGAAGGAAAGTACAAAAGAGGGTTGTTTATCCACACAACCATTTAGACCTAAGCCCCTGGCCGGACCAGGCTGGTTGTCCTGGAGCCGGATGATGCAGGCTCCCATAACAGCCATGTGTACAGTGAGTGGTTCTACCAGGTAGGTATTCCAGTGCAGCACATACCAGTCAACAAGATGTCCTTTGAATATTTACATTACAGAAATGTTTCGTGTTCTGTTCTCCCCCCAGCCTGCAGCTGCCCCTTTCTCCTGAAGTCACATCATGCCATGGGGCTAAGACTTCCTAACACCAGTTGTCTTTACCCTCTACCCATCCTTCCTGGGCAGGGACAGGCATGCCAGAGAATAGAGCCTTGAAGAAGGCTTTGGTCAACACAAGTCCCGACTCTGGGGACTCTGCAGACCCGGGGGCTGGTGAACCAGCCATTTTTCCCAGATACTCCTGGAAAGTTTGGGGGAACAGAGCCAGGTGTTAGAACTCTTTGACCCCCCCCCCCCCTCTCTCTCTCAGTATTGGTGTAGAAGAGCTGGTGTTATCCTTCTGTGCTGGGCCTCTTCCATCTTGTAGGTGGTTAGATTTGGGTCCTTAAGCATTATCTTGGGAAATCCACCTAATGCCCCAAGAAAATACAACTTAGGAAATCCCCTTTCTTGGGATCTCCATTTTTCTAGTTACCGACTAAGGCAATGACACATTATCGGAACCAGGAAGACTGGGGGTGAGAGGAGTCTTCAGGGTAGTTTGATTCCTGGCAAGCAAGCTCCCTCCCTCTCCAGCCTGGGTACTCTCCACAAGCCTCATTCAGTTCAGTCCCAGGTTTGACCAAACTGCCTGTTCTTGGCTGGCATTGGTTGCTACTTCAGGAAAAAGATACCATCCAAAGCCAAGACTGTGGTCATTGACTTTTTGGTACCCTTCCCTTTGGTGTGTGCCAAGATTCTGGAGAGGAAATTTGGCACATGGAACCTGCATGGTAAATTGTTTTACTCTTGTCCCCGGGCTCTGGTCGGTAGCTTAGCTCACAGAACGGCAGTTGTGAAATGTGGGTTAGCAGAACTCTTCAGGAACAAGAAGGACTGAAGTCTCAGCTGGAACTGTCTTCCTTCGGTTTTTAGAGGCTTTTGTTGTTTCACCCCAAAGGAAAATGAATAATTAGCAACTGACTGTATTTGCGCCATTTTCCTGCCTCGGGGACTTTAAAAGCTTTTCTCTCCTTTTAGAACCACTCAGTAGAGACCTCTGCACTATGGCCTCTCTGACGATACTGAGAGCCAAAGTACAAAACCTTCCCAACCCTCCCCTAAGGGGAGAGCAGTTTCACCACCCGTGTGGACACTCACAATCCTTCCTGGGGACAGGGAAGGGATCTATGTGACCTGCTATTGGCAGAATAAAAACATGACTCAGTGTGTGGGGATTCCCGCTGTTAAGACAGCATTGTCTGTGGAGTCAAGATACCTGGGCAACCTGCAGCATGAAGCAAATTTGGACACTGTTGGTCCTTCTGCTCTGCCCAAAGCCCTTTCCTCCTGTGATTTCAGGGCTCACCCTCCCCTGGTTTCTCTCTACATGCACAGCCAGATCCCCTTTATGGGAAGATCTCAGCCACCGCACAGCCAGAGGCTGGAGATCTTCTGGGGCCTAACATCCCAGTTCAGAAGAATATGGCCAGCACTTTCCTGAGGACAGATGCTGTCTCTGTGGTTGTCCTTGGGATCCCATGGAAGGAACAGGATGGGACACAGAAGGCAGAAGAGTATAGGAGAGGGACCACTTAGGAAATGATTGCCTCTTGACGCAGGACACATGGCAGTTTGTACAATGTTTGGTGTCCCCAGTCTTGGCTAAGTTCTGAAGCCCCTGAGGTTCCATGGTTTCCACGTGTTCCCTTGGGTATCTTACACTGCTTCTAACAAGGCCTCAGCTCCATGGCTGTTGCTACAATCAGAGGAACATCTGGGTATACCCAGTGACCTCTCCTCATTAAAGAGTACCTACATGGTACCTCCTGATCTTATAGGTTCTAAGTTAGGGTGCCGTGTTACTAAAATGTACGATATGGCTGGAACTGGACCAGATTCTTGGTAGAAGACCTAGTTTCAAACCGTGGGTCCACTTTTACCAGTGCTGTGGCTCCGGATTAACACTTAGCTTTTCACTTCATCTACATACTCACCCCAAGAGTCATCTCTGATGACAAGGAGTATCCAGGTACAGAACCCTTCCAGCCCTGCTCTTGAGGCTACGGCTGCCATCCATGTCTTCACGTCACCTCCCACGTGGTATTACTAGACTCCAACCCATTAGGATATGCAGTGACTATGATAATGATAACAATCAGGAAAGCTTGAGCCTCCATGAAAATGTGACTGTGTGCAGGGCTGACTCGCCCTGAGACCCTCGACAGTGTGAAAGCTGCAGTCACAACAGGTGAACAGCTCTATGTCCCATGAGTCTCCTCTTCAACCGAGGAGTCCTTCTATTGAGCTCTGACTGCTGTTTTCCAAACATTCTTGATTATGGGTATTTAGGTCTGGAAGAGTAGATGACTTTGAACCCCTTGGAGAAATGATCTGAAGGTCAAAGTGCATAGGACCTGGAAACACGTTCCTATGGTCTGACAGTGAAAGCTAGACAGTGTTGGCGACTTGCCTTCTTTCCACATCCTGCCTTTCTGCTCACTTGGTGCCTGGGTCTTCTTGACTCACATCCGTTCCTAGGGGGAGTGGTTTGAGGTGATGATGATTTTTTGAGGTGGTGAACGCTATGATGTCTCGGAGACTTTCTCCTTCAAACCCAGAGAAGCATACTCTGGTATCAGGGGAGTGTTCCGACATGCTTCTCCCGGCTGCACACTTACCAGTCAGCTGACTCCTCTGCTGTCCCAGCAGTATTTGTCTGCTTTGTGATCAGCATTGAGGGCATCGGAGCCGGAGCTCATCGCCTGTGGAGCCACCGAACTTACAAGGCGCGCCTGCCGCTGCGGCTCTTCCTCATCATTGCCAACACCATGGCTTTCCAGGTGAGAAGCTGCCGATGCTCATTTTTGTCTCTACTCTATGGGTGAGCCAGGGCAGACTGGAGGACATGAGCACCCAGAGAGGCAGTCTTTGGTGGGCCTCTCAAGTGCGTGCTTGCTACAGAGCCCCCCACAACATGGGTCGCCTCCGAGTCACTGGGAAGGGGAACAGGAAGTGAGCAGAACAGGTTCTCTAGCATAACTTTTATTTTTACCTCAAGTTCCCTGGGTTATCACATAGTGTGGGTGCTGTGGTCCTTTGTTATAAAGGACCATGGAACATCATCAAGACACTGATGAAGGTTTCCTAAACACTCAGCTAACAAGAAAATCATGCTTTGCTCTGACTGTCTTAGGACCCTACTATAATGGGGTTGGAGTGGGATGTGTCACAGACTCAAGAACACGCTCATTTCAGACAATAAGAGCAAACATGTCTACAGTTCCATGTGCTGCCCACTGTGCCAGCGTTGGACACAGGTTAACTCTTTTAGTCTTCATGGCCACACCAGGAAGTAGGCCTTATTGTTCTATCCACTGAACAGATGAAGAAACTGAGTCACTGTGCCATTAAATAGGCTGACCTTGTTGCTCTGTCAAGGGCTAGCATGACGGACAGGTCAAGTTCTCAGGATGGTGTTTGCAATGGATAGAGTGTAGGAAATTAGGGAAGGGGGCCTCACCGAGCCATACGCTGCTGCTTATAGTGTGGGGCTTGACTTGGGTGATGAGGCAATCACATCAGAACATGGATTAGTTATTTTGCCTTGACAGTAGCTGAGGTTCTTATCACGTGTGTGCAATCACCTCTGCTCTGCTCGTTATTGTAGTGAAGGCTCCCAGTTTCTGCCTTTGGAGGACAAAGAGAAAGAAAGAAACGCTGACACGTTCTTAAAGGGATGGATAAAGTTTAGAAAAGCCCCTAGGTCTTTCCGAAATGTGTTCAGGTTCATCAGTTACACGTTAGTCTTGTTGGGTTGGGTGACATGCCCTTTGTGAAGATGCTGACATTTTTTGCGCCTTTACCAGAGAGCAGGACCTTGGCGCCCAGGGCCTTCTGCTTTATGCTCTCTCTGCCCCCAGATCAGACATCTCCAGGGGAACCCTGTCTCATGTCGCTTGTTTAAAGAGTCACTGTGTTCTCTGCTAATGAGACCCTCTGAGCACTCGGACTCGCCTCCTCTTTCCCACCACCACACAACCCTGGGAAGCAACACTGCTTTTCTTGAGCTCTGGACCCTTGACTTGCTTTCCCACATAAGCTTTGGGGACAAGTGTGCCGGAGAGTGTGCTCCCCCAGACCCCCTCCCTTACTAGTCAGAGTCCTGGGACTCTGAGAGTTAGACTGAGAGTTCCAGGCCCTGGCAGACACCTAGGCCCTTGCATTCCCCTGGGAGGGCATCTCTTCTCAGTACTGGGGTCCTCTTTCCTGTCCCTCCAGAATGATGTGTATGAATGGGCCCGAGATCACCGCGCCCACCACAAGTTCTCAGAAACACACGCCGACCCTCACAATTCCCGGCGTGGCTTTTTCTTCTCTCACGTGGGCTGGCTGCTTGTGCGCAAACACCCGGCTGTCAAAGAGAAGGGTGGAAAACTGGACATGTCTGACCTCAAAGCTGAGAAGCTGGTCATGTTCCAGAGGAGGTGAGTGAGAGGGTTAGAACTTCTCTTAGCACTTAGAATAGCTGAATGAATGTCTAGGTTTATATGATCAAAACCATCATTTCAGCCAAGTGTGAAGATAAATGCCTGTAATCCCAGCACTGGAGAGACAGAGGCAGACAGATCTCTGTGGATTCCAGATCAGCCAGTGCTACATAATGAGACTGTCTCAAAAAAGCAAAGATACTCTGGGGACTGAAGAGGTAGCTCAGCAGTTAAGAGTACTTCCCATTCTTCCAGAGGACCCTAGTTCAGTTCCCAGCACTCATGTTGGGCGGCTTACTCCTATAACTCCAGATCCAAAGAATCTGACACCCAGTTCTGGCCTTCACAGACACACGTGCACATGTGGCATATATTCACACAGACATACACACATATACATAAATAAAAAATAATTTAAAAAAAAGTCCATCGGCCAAATGTGGTGGCACACGTCTTTAGTTCTAGTACTCTGGAGGCAGAAGCAAGTGGATCTCTGTGAGTTTGAAGCCAGCGTGGTCTACATAGTGAGTTCCAGGACAGCCAGGGCTACATAGTGAGACCCTGTTTCAAAAAATAAAAAAAATAAAAACAAACAATTCATTTCAAATCCCAGTTTTTAATGGCTGGATGTCCACAGTCATGGAGTGTTACTCTGTTCCTTTCTTTCTGAACTATTTTTTAAACCAATTAAATGCAACAAATATTCACTGATCTAGGAGAGCCACAGACACAATGAATTCAACTGAGCCCTTTTGTTCCTGGAGATTATAGCCTATAGGGTGAGGAATAATAATACACTCACCAAGTTACCATGAAGCAAGGCAAAATACTGTCTGTACTGTGATAGGCGAGAAAAGGCCAGAGATGGCTCCGGGAGAACAAGAAGGGTTGAAGAAAATATAGCATCAGAAACAACAGAAAGATAGTGTCCTGCATGTTTATGTACAGACAGAAAGTATGAAAATGAACTAAAGCCTGATACATGATCCAGAAATATAGTCTGTTTCCTTGACCTACAAAATATGACAGGAAAAAAAGATGACAGACTGATGTCATCCTGAGCATCTTACACACAGATGGGATTAACGCAGTTGGCCATGAGGAGCTTGTTTCTCCAACAGCATGTGGCACAATCAGAGCTGTGCTTTGAAGGTCAGGTCAGGGGAGGTCAGGTGAAGAAAACGTTGAGCCTGAGCAGTGAGGAAAGCATGTAAGTTAGACCGTAGAGAAGGTTCAGAACAGGGAAGCAGCGAAAGATGGGAAAGCTGGATGCAGGCCATGCCCGTGACTGGGAAGGTGAGGACCTGACTGCTGAGGGGACATCAATCAATCCTCTCTGGAAATCAGTGGTTCTAGGACAAGGCCTCTAGAGGGACAGAAGCTGCAGGTGGTCAAGGACATTCATTATGCTTCCTGGAGCTTTTGCAGAGGGAAGACCTTGAGGGAGGAGGTTAGCAGGAAATGGAGAAATGTCCAAGACCCTGATAGGAGAGACAGGGGAGCTCTGGGCCAGATGGAAAACACCCAGGCATCCTCACAGGCTGAGGATGTGGTTTGGTCCCGATCTGTTGGGTAACTGGCCTCATCCCTCTATGAATAAGAACAATGGAGACCTTTTTCTGTTGGCAACTGGTGGGATTAGTTTAGGACAATCTCAGCTCAACAAAGACTTATCTTGAAAGTGATAATAACACTCTGCATTGAAAAGATTTTCCACCCCCCTTCTTTCTGGATGGGGCTCCCACCCCACTCCTGCACTCATGGTGTATGAGGAAAGACAACAGGCCCTCCCACTGAGAAGAGCCAATCCTCTCCCCACAGACTCAGTGTGTGATCTCTCCACATAGGTACTACAAGCCTGGCATCCTGCTCATGTGCTTCATCCTGCCCACACTGGTGCCCTGGTATTTCTGGGGAGAGACTTTTCAACACAGCCTTTATGTTGCCACTTTACTGAGATATGCCTTGGTGCTCAATGCCACCTGGCTGGTGAACAGTGCCGCCCACCTCTATGGCTTTCGCCCTTATGACAAGAACATTGACCCAAGAGAGAATGCCTTGGTTTCCCTAGGATCTCTGGGTAAGTCAGCAGTCTATGGCATTATCGAATTCAGTGGTCTCTTTTAGGTTTCAAACCTGGGACAAATGGCTGAGGTGCCTATTTAACATTTCAGAGCAGACCTGGCCACCAGGTCTTAGTCCTTACTTGTTACAGGGCCCTCCTGGCTAACACACCCTGCCCCCTGCCCTGAAACTTCCCAGCCTGGGGGGGGGGGGGGTTGCTGGCCTGCTCTCCCCTATATAATCTAATCATTTTGGTTACCTGCTCTCTTTGCACCTTTGGGCCTCCTGGCTGCTGTACCTGGTTCCCACCTCTGCCCTCTCCCTTCCCCTCCCCCTTCTCCTCACATGGCACAGCTCAGTCTGGTCATGTCCACTCAGGACTCTTCCAGATGACCCTGCCTCTGGCTATGCTCTCCCACATATCTCCAATGGGCCTCCTCCTCCACACACCTAGGAGCAGCCACATTCTTTTCCTTTGCTATTTCTTCTTGCCATCCAGTCTCCTCACTTGGTGAGCTGTGAGGCAGATGGGAGTCATCTGTTTTTATAGGCACTTTGTGTCTCACATCTCCCACTGTAAAACTAGGGGTTGTGGTAGTGGGCAAAACATGACAGGCAGGCAACACGTTTTATGTTGAAAACGGAAAGGATAAAAAATACTGCCTTTGATTGGAAGGTCAAAAAACAAACAAAAAAACCTCCCAGTGATCCTGGTTACGTGTGCCTTTCTCCAGTCATCTGTGATTCATTTCTCTGGGCCAATCCTGCTAGGGTCAGGAGACTTGTGACTGTAACAGCAGTATCAATGGAGAGCACAGTAAGCCTAGTGTGTCCTGACTAGCCAAGCTATAAAAAGAAAAGGGAAATCATGACTTTGTTCAATGGACTTAAAAGTGTGCCTTCTCAGAGTACTGCCTCACCTCCCCAATGTGTTTCACACACACACACACACCCCACCGTGTGTTCTTCCATTCACCAATGTTTAGGTGACTCTTACTTACTGAAGCTATACCCTACAATTCCTAGACTGCCATAGAAACGGAGTCACGTGGGCTGAGATGTGTTCTGTAAATGAAGTTAAATGAACTTGCCCAATGCAGTCTCTTCCCGACTTGGCTGCTGGAGGTGGCAGCCAGCAACTCTTCTTGTCCTGTCTCTCCACAGCTTTTCTTCCTTCCTCACTTCATCTTGTTTTCCTGTTTCCTGCCACTCTAATCTCAACTTCCTCTTCCTCTCCTCTCCCCCCTCTTCCCTTTTGCTTTATCCCGACCCCCCTGAAGTACGAGGGACTACCCTTACAGCCTTGTGGAGATGCCCCGTCACTGAACTACGTCCCCAAGCCCTCTTTACACTACTCTACATTGTGGGTCAAGAGTTCACTACTCAGTCTAGGCTGGCCTTGCACTCACTCTGCAGCTCAGGCTGACCGTGAATTTCTACTAATAAGCTATTTGCCCAGCTCTTTTCTTGTTTTTATCTTGGAAACAGTCTTTCTAATTTGTCCCGGCCAGACTTGAACTTTCTATCTCCTGGTTCAGCCTCTAGGTAGCTGGAATCACAGCCAGTACCAAGGAACAATGTACAAATCCAGACCCCAGAGTCAAGGGCTTTACCTGTTTTGTTATATTTCGTGATAAATGTTTCTATGTTTTTGTCCCTTCTATAAAATTTAGCACTTTATATGTTGATGTTGTCTAATATTCATTCCCACATATTTTTTGTCTATGTACATAGAAATTATAAAAGGAAGTAAGATTTTAATTTTGTTTTGTTTTTTGTTTTTCAAGACAGGGTTTCTCTGTGTAGCCTTGCTGTCCTGAAACTTGCTCTGTAGAATAGGCTGTCCTTGTACTCATAGAGATCTGCCTCTGCTTCCCGAGTGCTGGGATTAAAAGCATGTGCCACCACTGCCCAATGATTCTTATACTTCTTGAAGTCACAGTTTATATTTCTTGTAAAATATTTGTGCAAACATTCAGTTAAATACTCAGTGTTGTACAAATAGCACATTTTCATCCAAATCAGGAATTTTAGAAAAGTCAGGTTCTCTAGAGTAATAGGGCTTGTAGAATGAATATATATTAGAATGACTTATAGGCTGTGGTCCAGCTAGTCCAACAATGGCTGCCTACGAACAGAAGGGCCAAGAATCCGGAAGTTGCTCTGTCCAGAGGCCGGATGTCTCAGCTGGTTTTCCTTATAGCCAGAATCCAGAAGATGAAGGCCAGTAAAGGGATAGACTTGCTAGCGAGGGAGGTGAAAGCAAGCAGCAAGGTAGCTAACGAGAGAGCAATTGCTCTCTTATTCCATCCCTGTCGCAGTTCGACTGTCCTGTTCCCTCATGTTCTCATCCCCCACCCCCTACCCTCCATTGTACACCCTCATCCCCAGTTAACTCATGGAGATCTCATCTATTTCCCCTTCCCAGAGCAACCCATGTGTCCCTCTTAGGGTCCTCCTTGTTTCCTAGCTTCTCTGGAGCTGTGGGTTGTAGTCTGGTTATCCTTTGCTTTACATCTAGTATCCACTATAAAAGTAACTGTCATTCAAAAAAAACATAAGTTTCAGAAAAAATTAAATAGCAGATGATACAAGAAATTTATTAAAGGAGTTCTATTTTATGAGCATCCCCCTGCACCAGGGTCAAAGCTCTAGGAGTAGCACCAGCAGCTACTGTGAACCAGCAATGGCTGAGAGAAGTCCCTCCTCAGCCGGGCCCCAGCTCCTCTGACTTTTGGCTATCCTTGCCTCTTGTAGCTGTCTACACTTACAGAGCACACCAGTCCCATGGGGAAAGGTGTGTTTGCTTTCTTACCTTTGTAAGAAACACAGACACTGATACATACCGAGTCCAGGAGCCCACAGAGTCTCAGAGCATATTGACATTCTAGCATTTTCCAATGTAAAATATTCCCCCAGAATAATCAGATTCTTCTCCTGTTGGCCTTGGAGACACATTTCTTCCACAGTGCTTTCAAATATTAAGGGCAACCAGGGCTTCTCAACTCATTGTTTCAGAGTAGAAGGCAGTGGGTTAACCATTCACCAAATAACAACCAAGTATTCTGTTATCCACTGGGTTAGAGGTGTGCTAAGAGCAGGAAGCAGCCATCACCGAGCCCCCTAACTGCTCTCCACGCTTCTGTTCCAGGCGAGGGCTTCCACAACTACCACCACGCCTTCCCCTACGACTACTCTGCCAGTGAGTACCGCTGGCACATCAACTTCACCACATTCTTCATCGACTGCATGGCTGCCCTGGGCCTGGCTTATGACCGGAAGAGAGTGTCTAAGGCTGCTGTCTTGGCCAGGATCAAAAGAACTGGAGATGGGAACTGCAAGAGTGGCTGAGTTTGGGGTTGTCTTTGTTTCTATTCCCAAAGCCAGCTGGGCAGAGGTTTAATAATGTTATTCAAATACTGAAAAATACCATCAATGTTCTAAAGAGTCTCGTTTCAAGACATTTTTCTTGTAAAATAATTCAAATATTAAAAGGCAAAAACTCTTTTATGACGTAAGCAGATACTTTTCCGTCTTAGTCTTCTGTTCCCGGGGCTTTTTCATTGCTTACTCCTTCTCACCTCCTTATTTCATTGCCTTCCAGGGAAGTGCAGGTGAGCAGTAGGTTAGAAGAGACCTTTGAAAGCTCAGCAAATGTCTTAAATTAAAGGACTCCACAGGTAGCATTCTTACTTTGATCTCTCTTGAGCTTCAAGGTAGATGTCTCAAGCTAAAACTCCAGCCAGGTCCTCCTGGACATTGTCTGTTAACTACCATCAGGCCATGGGAAAGATGAAAACAAACAAAAAAATGCGCGCACGCGCACTTGCATTTTGTTAAACTGTCAGGGGAGAGAGTCAGCAGGCTGGCTATGATCCTTAAGTGGGAATGGTGTTCCATGGAAGAAGTATGAGGTTCTTTCTGTGACTGGACCCAGCTGCTTCCCAAGCAGACATGGAGCCCCTCCACACAGCATCCTTCCTTTCTGTCCTGAGTCCCAGAGCTTGGCAAGGCAATTTTTCCCATTTCAAGACAGAGATGGAGAGGTTGAGGGATGGTGTTGGTAGGCAGCAGCTCATAAATAACTTTCTGAGGAAAAGCTGTTTGGATTGAAGACTTTCTGAGTGGGTGACTCCATGTCCTTCTGAAACAGTCTCCAAGCTGGGTCTCTTTAGTAGTCCAAGTTGCTGCTTAGATTGATAAAATCCAGGCATCCCTCCACAGCATTTTGTTCCTTGCTTCATTCCTTCCTGTTAAATTTTATGTTCATGACTAACCTAGGTCAGTGAATATTTGTTGCATATAATTAGTTTAATGAAACAGCTAGAAGATGCTAAGCAGGCTGCTGGGAGCGGGGGGGATATCCATCAACAGTCTTCCTCAACTGTGGACCCTGTATTCAACAAAATGACTGGCCAGGCAATGTGCTCACCAGTACAATAGCAGCGAGTCTGTTGGGGGTAAACCAACTGTTTCCTGTGTAGATTTGAGACCCACTCATTGGAAGGGAATTTACCATCAAAAAGCCTGTGGTTGGGGTCCAGAGAAATGGTTCAGCAGGCAAAAGGTCTTGCTGTGAAAGCTTGATGAGCTAAGGTCAATTCCAGAGACCATGTAAAAAGCTGAACATAGTAAGTTTCTGTAATTCCAGAACTCCTAGAGAGAGATGGGAGGGAGACACAGAAAGGGGAATTCCCTAGAAGCTTGCCAGCCAGCTAGCTGGGAATAGCTTGGCGAGAAAGACCCTGCCTCAAAAACAAGGTGGAAGAACTGGCTTCCAAAAGTTGTCCTGTGACCTACATGTGCACCCCACACATACACATATCACACACACACAAATAATATAGTAGTTTTTTAATTAATTTTTTAAAGCCTGTAGCTGCTGTGGAGTTGATAGGCTCTTGCAGGCCGCAAGAATATATTTTAGAGATTCAGCTTGAAAGGACCAAGCAGATGCCATAACAGGCTACTCAGTCTTCTCTCAGAGATCAGGCCTCAATTTCAGTTTGCTGAGACTTGAGCAAACAGTTTCTGGGAAGGCCATGAACAAAAGACATAGTCCTTGCAGTAGCTCCCTTTCTGCATGTACTCTGAATGCTCAAAGTTCAGCCAGATGTTTACTGTCTGGGACCCCTCACCAACTTAGAGTTATGTGCATGAGTCAAGGACAGAGCCTAGACCACTGAGCCAGCCCCCACAGTCAGTATGTGCTAGGCCAGCCAGCCCCCATGGCAGCTCAAGGACAAAGCCTGGGACTTGTGCCAGACTGCCCCAAAAATGATAATTGTAACCCCCAACCAGTAAATTCAAAGGTTACATACCATCACCCAATTAAAAGAGAACAGAGATCTTCAAAAATAAAAATAAACCAATCCGAGTTATACCTGTGCAAAATCCCCAACCCCCCCAACCTCCCTGAAGGGCTTGCGATTTTTGCCTTTAAAAAGCTAGCCTCACGAAGAAAGAGCAACTCCTCCCTGCCTCACTGTATTGGGTGTAGGAACGAGTTCCCTGTCTAGACTTGTATCTAGAATAAACCTTGCTGTTGCATTCTGGACATCCACGGTCTTTGGTGGTCTCTTTGGGGTTGTGATCTGGGCATAACAAGCTGTGTATTAAAGCTATACTTTGGGTATTCAATAATAGGTCTTAGTAAGGAAGCTACTAGTACTGTTTTCCTAAATGGACATAATGTGTCCATCAAATTACCTTCTGAACAACTATGTTTTTGCTCAGCTTTGGTCAGAGAAGGTTTTGTAGTGGTCAGCACTACCTTCAGAGACTCACAGTTGTCTGAGTACTGAGAATATGTGACTGAGTGCTCAGTCCTGAATGCAACATCCATACCAACTTTTCCAAAGTTCAGGGAATATCACAAAAGAAGCAGCAGAGTGTTAGAGCCCGAGAGAAGGGCTGTGATGGAATAGAACACTGCCTTCCAGGCAGGGCATGGCCTGTGTACTCTTAAACTTACCTGCAAAATATCTAAGATCAGGCCTGCCACCATCATGTCATGCCTAGTAGTGGGGCTCATGAGAGAGAGAGAGAGAATGATAGCTTTTCCTTCCTTCCTTCCTCCCTTCCTCCCTCCCTTCCTCCCTCCCTTCCTTTCTTCTTCCTTTCTTCCTTCCCTCCCTCCCTTCCTTCCTCAATCCCTCCCTCTCTCTCTCTTTCTTTCTTGGTGTAAACACTTCTGTAAACAAATCTGTTCCCGTGGTCATGTAAGTAATTCTAATGAAACCTGCTGACTATATAAAAATAAAAATTAAGTGAAAAGACATGAAAATAGAAGAGAGGACTGGAGAGATGGCGAATGTTAAGAGAGTGCTTGAGAACTCTGCCCTTCCAGAGGACCTAGGTGCCATTCTCAGCACCTGTATGGCAGCACATACTGTCTGTAACTTCAGTCCCAGGGGATCTGGTGCCCTCTTCTAGCCACTCTGGGTACTGCACAAACGTATATGAACATATATGCAAGCAAAGCACCATACATATACATACATATATAAATGTTTGTTTAAAGACATGAAGAGACTAGTTGGGAAGATATAGGAACTGAGTAAGAACAGGAGACAAAGAAGAGAAGGTAACACAGGCCACAGGAAGACACAGAAAGTCTGGCATAAGTGTCTTGGCAATGGCTAGATAGATCATCCAGTGGCTTTCTAAGTTATGTTCCTCAAAGGACATAATTTCCAACAAGGTTAAAGACCAAGTGATGCTTACATTTTTAAATGTGGTTTAAAAGTTAAAATTCCATGAGCTGGTTTATTTTCCTTATCTTTTGTTTATTTTCCTTATCTTTTATCTTCTTTCAAAAGAAGATTTTGAGAGTCTTCTTTTGTAGTTGAAACTGGAGGTTGGTTTCACGAGGCACACTGTTTTGATTTAGGGCCAAGATGGCAGTGCCAAGCCACAAGGTTACAAGCATTCTGGCCTGAAAGAAGCATGTATCTGTTGTTTTCGACATTGGTGTTTGAGAAAACACAGCATTGCCCCAGACGGTTCTGGCTGTATTAGCTGTGTTGAAGAGTCTTGACTCACAGTCAGTAGAAAAGGCAAAGCAGATCCCAGAATTAAAGCTTCTTTCCTTTCTGTGTTCCCATGATGTGACATGCTCTGCTCCACCATGCCTTCCCTGCTGGGATGGACCTCAGCCTCTAAAACCGGGGACCCCAATCAATCCTTCCTCCATCAAGGTGTCGCTAATAAAGTTCTTTGTTTGGTCATATCAGCACAGGAGTAGTTATTACAGAACCATTAATTTGTTTGTTTGTTGAGACAGGGTCTCACTATGTATCCCAGGCTGGTCTTGAACTCACAGAGACCCACTGTCTTTGCCTCCCCAGCTGAGTTTTAACAGACATTTGCTTCACTCTTTTCCAACAACAGTCCACCCTATTATGTCCTCAGCTCCACAAGGGCACCTTCCCCTGCTAGAAAGTCTCCTTGTGACTAGACAGTCAGTGCACAATGAAATGAAGACAATTCAGGGGTGTTTGGTTGGAACATGGTAAATGTCACATGAGTATGAGGTCACATGAGTTTAAGTCCAGTTTTGTGACCTATATTAACTTCCTATGATGCAGGCAAAGACTTATTTTGCTCACTGAATTTGGCGCAGGGGATTCCAATAATAATCACAAGGCACAAGAAATGGAGTGTGTGCCTTGGAGTTGTTGGAGACAAAAAGAACTTCCTCCTTGGGGCACTCAGCTCTGTCCCACCCTACTATCCCCCTACCCCCCCCCCCGCCCCCGCCCCAGGCTTCTGTATCCAAAGTATAAAGGAGCAGGTGGGCTGTGCTGATTCCTGGTAGGTCTGGGCCCACATGAGGACCTGCTCAAAAAACCCAAAGGGGTATTCATTCTGGGCCTCTTCTAGTAATATTTAGGATCAGGAAAAGGAAAGCGAGTTCTTTTATAATGCCAGCAGAGGGCGCAAGAATGCTCATAGCACCTCTTACTTTGTAGCAAATTCTATCTAGATGACCTAGAAGACATCCCCATACACAAGCTTTTTTCTTGGTATAACCATTTAAAATGATGTGGTTTTCCCCAACAAAGAATTAGCCATTTTAACATGGACAATTATACAGACTAGAATCACACTCCCACACCACACTAGTCCTGGTATGGCTTAGTTTTCAGGCAATCTACTGGTCTGGATACACTGGTAGGTACAGTCAGTGATCAGTTGATACTCAGGTCAGAAACATGCCCCGTTGGGCTCCGAGGAATTGTATCTTGGCAAGTTTCTTTCCTCCATCCTCCTTAAGACTTTGGTACAAGTTTTTACGGTAACTGTAAATCATTTAATTTTTAAAAATGAGGGGGCTGGAGAGAGGGTTCAGTGGTTAAGTGCACTGGCTGTTCTTCCAGACTTAAACATCCTTCCAGATTTAAAAATCATTTAATTTTTAAAAATGAGGGGGCTGGAGAGATGGTTCCGTGTTAAGTGCACTGGCTGTTCTTCAAGTCTCAGCATCCACATGGTGGCTCATAGCCATATACAGTAGGATCTGATGCCCTCTCTGGCATAAGGTTGTGCATGCAGATAGAGCACTCATATACATTAAATAAATAAATAAACCTTAAAAAATAAAAACAAAGTAAAAATGAGAAAAATTAAAGCGAATGATTCTGTGGTATTTTGTACACTCACACTGTTGTGGAGCCAACACACCTAGTTTCAAAACATTTCCCTCACTCCAAAGAGACACTACACCACCTCAACCCTTATTCTCCCCTCTCACCTCCCAAGCCCAGTCCCCACCCCTGGCAACAACCAATTGCTCTTTTTCTCTTGGTTTACTATTTTTCACAGAAATAGAATCTGGCTTTCTTCTTTCAGCATGATTTGTGCATCTGTTGACAGTGTAACACATCAGTACTTGATTCCTTTCCTTTTTCAATAGCATTCCATTGTCTGTGACTAGAACAATCTCTTTATCCATTTCCTCAGTGTGGCCTAAGCCAGACTAGCTGGCCTGAGAACTCCTGGGCATTCATCCGTCTCTCCCTCCCCCATCTCACTATAAGAGCCCTGTGATTACAGATGTGCACTACCACATCTGGCTTTCCCTGGGTTCCGGGATTTGAAGTTGGGACCTCAAGCCTGACTGGCAAGGACTTTATCCACGGAGCCACCTCCCCAGCACAGCTGGTTTTTTACCCTGGGGAGCAGTCTCCTTCCCCCAGTTAACTTATTTCACAGCTAAATTTGCATACATTCTAGCTTCCTCTCCTCGTTTTCTACAGACTGTGAGATGTACAGCCACAGTGGGATCAGGAAAGCAGATCTCCAGACTTTCGGTCAAACGGTAAACAGGTTCATCTTCCTTTCCCAACGTCTATTTCCTAATTCCGTGGAAACACAGGTGTATCCGTTTTTTCTCCTGGCCATTAATAAAACATCCGACAACGGCAACTTAAGGAAGGACGCCTTCCTTTTGGCTCCCGTGGGAAGAAGGCATTTCAGGGAGGTGCCCCAGCGCCCCCGGCAGGAGCATCAGGTGATACTGTGTCAGTAGTCAGGAAACGCTTGTGCACAGCTGCCTGCGACTTCCTTTTGCCTTTTTTAATTCAGCGTGTGTCAAGATGCTACCCCCATTCAGGGTAGCTCTCCCCCTCCTCAGTCAGCCCATTCAGACACACTCAAGAAGTATACCTCTTTGGTGAGTCTCAATCCAGTCTAGCTGACAATTAAAACTAATCACAATGAGAAAACTGAGGTGGCAAGTATTTTGGCTCTGTGTGCCTGGTAATACTACTATGAACAGTGTGCACAATTACTGGAGTACTTGCTTCCAACTGACTGGGGTAACAGGAGTGGGGCTGTGTGCTCTTGCGGTAATTCGTCCACCCTTCTCGGGTTACCAACCTGATTTCCACCCCCACCAGCAGTGTTTAAGCGCACCCCTGATTTTGACTCTGCATGATCGGAACTGTGCCGGGACGGGTCTCCAGACTCCTTACCCACGACGTACAGGCTAGGAGAAGTCGCCTAAGCCGTTTGCTGTTTAAGGCTGTTTACAAAAGATCCTCCAGAGTCACTAAGGCTCACTAGCCACATCCACTCGTAGATCTCCATAAACTTCTTTCCTAGAGACCTCCGCTCGGCCTCACACTGAACCCCACTTAACTCCTGCAAAGCTGGGGCCTGGGGCAGAAGGAAGCAGCTGTGCTCAAACGCTTCGATCTTGCTGGTGGCGGGTTGCTCTGGCACACAGAGCCCCGCCCCGCTCCCATGCCCTGTCGCCGCCCAGGCAGGCCAGCCCGTCCCGAACCTAACGCCGAAGGAGACAAAGGGAGAGGTGTGCGGCCCCTCCCGGGGTTACTCGCGGTCAGCGCCCGCCCCCCAAGGTTACTCGCGTTCACTCGGCCCACAGCGCCTGACTCCGCGCAGCCAATCAGCAGCCGCGCTGCGGCTCGGCCGGCGCCCGCTCCAATCAGGAGGCGCCGCCCCTGCAGCTTGCACCGCGGAGCGGCCACCCCAGGATGGAGGCTAGGCAGAGGTGCCCGGGGATGCTGCTTCTCCCGGGCTGTGGGAGAGAAACGCGGAGCAGTGGGCTCCGGACCGCAAGCCGTCATGAGGCGTAGGGCATCAGGGTTGGGCTTCAGGAGCTTGGGCACCAGCCTCGCATTTCTGAACTCCTCCCTCTACCATAAAACTGGCCGGTGTGACTGACCGTGGCCAAGCTGTTTGATAACTCCACTTGACACTTTAAAACGGAAGTATGGATTAGCCACCTCAGAGGCTTCAACCAAATGAATCTCACAGAGATCATTCAATATCTGCTCTCTATTCTTAAGCCTTAGCCTGCCTACTCCTTCAGCCTGCTGCTGGGTATAAACGCCTGTCTGTGCTTCCTGTTTCTTTTACACAAACACTTCAGAATTTACAGAGGGCACCAGGAATCTCTCAAAAGTCCCAGTATGAGCCGGGCGTGGTGGCGCATGCCTTTAATTCCAACACTCAGGAAGCAGGGGCAGGTGGATCTCTGAGTTCGAGGCCAGCCTGTTCTGCAGAGCGAGTTCCAGGACAGCCAGGGCTACACAGAGGAACCCTGTCTCGAAAAAGCAAACAAACAAACAAACAGTTCCAGTATGTTCTGAGGGCACAGACATAGGTAGTGGACCCAGGGGAAACCAGTGCCCATTGATTCCTGGCACAGTCCTTACCCTGCAGAGCCTGCCCATTAACTAAGTGCGGGGTGTGCATGCACACAGGTCAGAGTATGTGTGTGGATATAGTGCCGCAGAGTTAGGATAGCATTCAGAGTCGGTGGGAAGGCCGGTGCCATAATTCTTCCCTGAGCTAGGTAGGAGCTTTCCTCTGTAGACGAGGGCTACTATGGAGCCTTTGGTTCAAAACTCGTTGCCATGTCTTCCCTCTCGTGTTCCTGGGAGAATAGGTGGCTGGGTAGCGTTGAGAGCGGTCATTGCCACCATGGCTTTCCCGTTCTCTCCTGGGTAATGTCCCCAATGCCCAACCGTTCACCCTGTGCCTGGGTTTCCTAGTGCTTGTATTGCTGAACTAGATACTGTTTCCCAGAATGAAATCTCAAGTGTTCCCATGCCCATAGGAGAGGCCCAGTGGCCAGTGGAAGGAGACAAGGAGGAGAATAAAAAGGCAAGGAGAGAAGAGAGGACAGAAGACGGAGCTGAGCCCGTGACAATGGTTGATAAGGTAACATCAAGTAGTCTTTGACCAATGAGGAGGCCAGAATTGACAAATGTATTAATAACTTTTTAAAAATTATTTTATTTTATGTGTATGGGTGTTTTGCCTATATGTATGTCTGTGCACCACTTGAGTGCCTGGTGCCCTCAGAAGCCAGAAGAGGGTGTAAAGTCCTCTGGAACTGGAGTTACAAATGGTCATGCGCCACCATGTGGGTGTTGGGAATTGAACCTGGGACCTCTGGAAGAGCAGCCAGTGCTCACAACCATTGAGCCATCTCTTCAGCCCCATTTAACATCTTCTCATGGGAAAAGACAGGGACAGGATTTGGGGTAGTATTATGTTAAGATCACATGGATGTATGCAATATCATCCTGCTCGGATTTGGCCAGTGCCTGGATTTCTTGTTCCCTCCATTCTTCTCATCTCATCTCTGCCCGGGGCTACGTAAGCCAGCTACCTCTGCACACCTTGCCCCTTTTGGCAGGGGACAAAGGCGTATGAGGAAATAAAGGACTCAGCCACCCAATGCCTTTAAATCCACAGCTCTGGGCAACAGCCCACACAGTGAGGCAGAGCCTGGACAGCCACTGTATATATACGATGGAACGCAGTTCCAAGTTCAGCACCTGACTTGCTACACAGCCCCACACTCGGAAGCAGAAATCCAGCTTCAGTCCTGGAAGTGCTCAATTCTAGCCTGTGGTCTCAGCTCTGGTAAGTTCTGGGCATCTGGGGGCCAGCATACTTGCAAAAAGAGAAGGGGATTTTCTAAGCAGTGACTCCCTGTCAGTGTACATAGGCTTAAGAAACACGGGACCCCCTAGTAAACTAGTGACTAAGGTCCCAGTAAGACTTGACATGCTGCTTAGCCAAGGTCCCTATGAAACAAATCACCTAAAATCGGATAGACCAATGGCCATAGCAATAATTGGGTTTGATGGGGCAGCAATACTTGATTCTAAAATTAATTGTACAGCAGTATCTTGCGAAGTAAAAGAGGTAGGCAAGGCAAGGAGATAGCCAAAGGTAAGGGTTTCATTGTGGTAAGGAGTTTCGTTCTGACAGTTTTGAGACCATCTGTCCACGACACAAACTCGCCACCTCTTTGTTTTGCTGCATAATTAGAATGTCTCTGCTTATGTGTGAGATATTTTGGTGAATACTGTGTGTGGTCCACACATCAGGCAGGACAGCATCATCTAGCTCTAGCTTGGGGGCCTTCAGGACCCCATTAGTTCTTATTCTTAGTGATTGGGTGGGACAACATGGAAATGGACACATCTGGAAATATTTGGGACCCAGAAGAAGAAATCAAAGATGAGGGATTCAATCTCATGACAAGAATGCTCTGAAGCATGAAGCAGACTTTCTCTGTCCTGCCAGCTCCCAGGTAATGACATGGAGACTTATTATTAATTATGAAAGCTTGGCCTTAGCTCAGGCTTGTCCCACTAGCTCTATAACTTAAATTCACTCATTTATTTTAATCCACGTTCTGTCACGTGACACGTTACCTCATCTCTCCACCCTGCTCATGCTGCCTTCTCTGCATCTGGCTGGTGACTCCACCTTTCTTCCTCCCCAGTCCTCTCTGTCCCCAGAAGTCCCCCCTAACCTCTTCCTGCCTAGCTATTGGCCATGCAGCTCTTTATTAAACCAATCACACATCTTCACCCAGTGTAAAGGAATATTCTGCAACAGAAGCATAATTTTACTCTCTATAGCCAAATTCTTACCAAATGAGTTTAATATAATACAACTTTGAGATTTTTGTATTAAAGAAAAATAATTCAAAAAGATTAAAAGTTCATTTATAAATTTTTTTCTTACTTGCATTCACCTAGTTAACTCATTGTTAACATTTCTTTTTAACTGTTCATGGAAAGGATGGCTACTCATCTTCCAAGTTGGGTTTTGTTGTTTTGCGGATGGGGGTAACATTGCAACAACATCTGACTCCGTAGTTCAGGTTGGCCAGGAGCTCGCACATAGGCCATCCTGGCTGTGAGCTCATGCCATCCTGCCTCTGACTCCATAGTGTAGAGGTGACAGGTATACCCAACCACTCCAGACTTCAGTTATTTTATGACAGATCAGGAAATTAGGAAAATTTGGGTGCAGGACCCAGTGGCACTCATCTGAAACCCCAATACTCTGGAGGCTGGGATGGCGGGATTCTAAGATGCAGGTTACCTAATACAAGGCTTCATCCAAAAAACAAACAATAATAATTCCTTGAATCATATAAAGCATAAGGTAATTACAGCCACTTCCTCTGCTTTCTATTTCCATGACTAAGTTGTATCGAGCAAATTATTTTCACTGTGCAATCTGTTCTTAGTTGGATTCATAGTTTGACAGGACTTCTCTTCCAGCTAACCCTACTTAACCAGGGCACAGAGGCCCGGCCTGTGCCTGTACTCCATTCTGCCCTGACCTACACTGAAGAACACGGTTTCCCTTGCTGACTTTCCACTTCCTCTCCTTACAGATCTCCAGCTCCTACATGACCACCACGACCACCACCACCATCACAAAGCCTCTTTCTGGGGGGCTAGAGAATGAGGGGGAGAAATTAGAAAAGATTTTCCAACAATGGGGAGAAGACATCCGTCCTGAAATGAAAGAAGACATACATGACCCCAGCTACCAGGATGAGGAGGGGCCCCCGCCCAAGCTGGAATACGTCTGGAGAAACATCATCCTCATGGCCCTGCTGCACTTGGGGGCACTGTATGGGATCACACTGGTTCCCTCCTGCAAGTTCTACACCTGGATCTTCGGTGAGCAGCTCCCCTTGTCTTGGGCCAGTGCTCTTGGTCTCACCCTTTTCCTTAATGAGGTCTGCTCTGACCCAGGTCAGCAGCCGTGTTCTGTATGGGACTCTCCCTCCTTTTCCCTTTGGCTCCTGAGGGACTGACTGGGCTGAAAAAGAGCCTAGTTGGATTGGGGTGCAAGAGTATCCGTTCCAGGAGTCCCTTAACATGGATGCTGAGCCCATGGGCATGGTGGCTTGGAGAAATAGACATGAGACAAAGCAGCAACTGACCCTGAACAAGCTTTTCTGGGTGAATTCCTTGCTTGTCTGCCTGTCCTATCCCTGCCTGCCTGTCTGCCTGCCACAAGTAGGCCCTCCCCCAGGTCCTGGACTAGGGGCTTCATGGACTACACTTTGAACCCAGTCAGCACAAAGCAAATGAAGATTGTACAGGGAAAAACAGAAGAGGGTCATCCGGACAAGTCCTTGGACCTCAGCCCCTGTCCCGGTGAAGCTGGCTTGCCTGGGAGGAAGATGAGACAGGCCCCTCTATAATTCAAATGCACAGTAGGCTCCCCTACTCCTCGTAGGTCTCCAGGGTGTGGCATATGCCGGTCAGGATGTTCTTTAGAATGAAATAAGATTGTAGAAGTGTTTCATGTTCCAGTCCCCATCCAGCCTCCTGCTGCTCATCTCATCTCTTCCAGTGCTATGGATGCTGCACGGTCTAACACGCCTCCCCTGTCTCCAGCACTCAGTTCTTTGGCAGACATTATAACCCTTGATTAGCCCAATCTTCGGGCCCTTGGGGCTTCACGGGCCTGGAGCTGATGGTAGTGCTGCCCCTGGCATCTACAGATGTGCTTTGCAGGTGTTATCACTTGTGACCCCAGAAGCCTGAACAGGAAGAGTGAGCAGGACCTGTGCAGATGCAAGGCACTTGCTGCTCTGGCAAGTTCTCCTCAGGAAGATGCTGGGATGTTGTCTAGAGCAGCATCTGGTGTGGGTTTTTTTCTGGGCACTCTCTCTTGAAGAGTAGTGGTAGAAAGAGGCTAGTTGGCCAGATGTTAGCTGCATCTGGCCCAGTCCTTGTAGGTCTTATAAGTGGTGAGATCTGGACTCTGGAGCTTCATCTTGGAAATTTTCCAGATGCCTCAGGGAAATGCAACTGTGCACATTTCCTTCCCAGTGTGGCCTAAAGCACACTTTCAGGTTGGGAATAGCTTGTTCTCATCACATGGTGTCACACTCCCATGTATAGCAGGGTGGTTTATCTGTAGGTCAAGGATCGTGGTCGCTGAGGCAGCTGGGTGGTGTCTTTACTCTTCTTCTGAGAACCCCAAATTTGAGTTGCAGCGTAATGGACACACAATGCAGGTAGCATTCCCTTACAGACTATGGAGTCCGCCTTCCACTTTGGGCCTTCCTTGTAGGCATCATTCAGTTCAGTTCTGAGCTTGACCAAACTGTCTGTTTGGCAGGCCTCAGTTGCTCATACAGGAATTGGAATGACACCCCAAAGCCAAGGTTGTATTTGCTCTCTTTTTGGTATCTTTCCATTAGTATTCTGTTATTTTTGGCTTCCAAAAAACACAGGGCCATTTATATAATGTGTGGGATCTCCAACCTTAAGGTTCTGTAGCCTTTGAGGAGCCATTGTTTCCAGCTGGCCCTTAGAGTGTTGTACATAGTTTTTTTACTAAGGTCTCAGCTTTTATGTTAGTGCTACCAATCAGAGGAACAGATGGCTACACTCAGTGTCCCCTGCCCCATCATGGATTATGCAATGCCTCTTGAGCTGTGGTCTTTGAGGTCAGTAGGGTAGGACAATGCTGGTATTCTCTGTTGTCCAGAAGTACGTGCCAGAGCTGGAGCCAGAATAGACTGTTGTCCGAAACCCTAGCTGCAAACCATGGTTCCACTTTTACCAGTCTCGTAGGACTAGAAAAACATACCACTTACTCCATGCATTTCCTCAACTGTGAGGTCACGTTAGGAGCACCTAACCCATTTAAGGTATACAGTGAATATAAGAATAGTAATATCCTTGATGAAGCCTGAGCCTCTGTGCGAATGTGACTGTATACAGGGCTGCCTGTCCCTGATCCAGCCACCCTTCTACTACTGTAATGATATGCTATTGTACTGACTGTTATACAGTCCCAGCTCTGCATTGCATGTGTGTCCCTCGCCACTTGGGTCTCCTCTAGTTTGGCAGTGCCCAGATTGGTCTGGCTCATAAACACCCGTGTTCATGGTCCTTCGCCCTGTGGGCACAGCTGATGGCCTTCAACACCTCAGAGAAAGTTAACCAAAGGTCAAAGGACCCGAGACCTGGCATAATGCTCCTGCAGGACCATGACTGCAGCCCTCTTCCCTGACCTACCTCCTCAGTGCCTAGACCTCCTTAGCTCATCTCCATTTTTAGGTGGACAGTCTGTGAGGGGATGGGATTCTCTTCAAGCGGTGAATGTTTTCAGCCTTAGAGAACAAAGCATCCCCAAGACAGTTAGAAACACCCCAGTAGGACAGCGGCAAATAAACTCATAGGCCTCAGCTACTTACTGGCCGGAAGCATGGCACATGTTTGCTTCTACCTCTCTCTCCTTTGTGTCATTTAGGCAGCTACAGCAGCTTGTGCACCTAAAGTTCTTGATGGTCTCTCTGCCCACATGCTGCCACTTAAGCAAATCAAGAAAGGCTCGGCTCTCCCTTTGTTCAGAGAGCTGCACAAGTCATGAATGTCTTGCCGATATGTCCGTGGTTTGGATATATCTCGTTTCTATTGCTTTAGTGTCAAAGGATCCCGCTTCTATTTATATCCCTAGGATTCAGGAGAAAACAGATCCCCATCCCAAGCCTTACAAAGACACGATGGAGCTTCGGAAAGGTGTCCTAACATTCTTAGCAGACGAACTTTCCTGATCTCCACTGTCTTTTCCTGCAGTGTATGTGTCATATCTAGTTACTGGCCTGAGCATCACAGCCGGGGCTCATCGCCTGTGGAGCCACCGAACCTATAAAGCACGGCTGCCCCTGAGGCTCTTCCTCATCATTGCCAACACCATGGCTTTCCAGGTAAGAGTCTGGTGCTGCTCAGCACTGTGTGTCAGTCACTTCTACTGATGATCCAGGGCAGACCAGAGGGAATCAGTGTCCTGAGGAAAGCTGACAGGGCAGCCATTGTCTCCCCCGTCTTCTGTGGTCATCTAAAGTATGTGCTTAGTTCTGAGGTCCACAGAGCGTGAGGTCCTTCTGAGTCACTGGGTAGGGAGACAGGAGGAAGGGGTCTCCAGTTACTCCTGGGTCATTTTTGACCACGTTCCTATGCTTTCACAGAGTGTGACTGATGTGGTCCTTCAGTCTAAAAGGCCATCCTGCATAGTTAGACACTGACCCTGGTTTCCTAGACCATCAGTAAACAGTAAACATACACTTTGTGATGCCTGTCTTGGGATCCCACCATGATGGGAATGAAGATGAAGTGTTGCAGATCCAAGGGCTGTTGTTTCAGATAGTAAACGCAAGCATGTCTAATGGTAGTGAGTCTGTTGCAGGCCCTGTGCTAGCATTTGGCATAGATGCACTCATTAAGTCTTCAGAATGTCTTAAGAGGTGGGTACTGTTATTATCCCTCATTTCAGATGAGGAAATTGGGTTAATAAGTAGTCTCATAGACCTGGGCTGGGATACCACCTGTGACTGCCATGCTGGCTAAGTCAGCTCTGAGGCTGTTTGAGGCATGAGCTCATAACCCAGAAGGAAGGGAGTTTGAGAAGGGAGTTTTTACTGGTATTAGGTTTTAGCAACTGGCACCAGAGAGCTTGTCACCTGGGAGGAGGGCCTCAATGTGGGGCTCATTGTGGGGTAAGGAGAAACCCGGAAACAAAATTCATTTTCTTGCATGGTAAGATTGGAGGTTCCCAACCTATGCGTATAATCATCTCTGCCCTAGCAGTTTACACCCTGAACTCTGCTGCTTTCTGTGGGCAAAAGGGAAGAGGGTGATATTATTGGTGCATAATTAAAGGGTTAGAAAGAGTCCCATGTAAGAGGTCCTTAGGAAAGGTGCCCAAGCTCCTAAGTTACATGCTGGTCTTGTTACTAGTTGAGTAACCTGTCATTGTGGAAGTCTAAGAGAGAGCTTCCCCCATCTGTATTCACAGACCAACACTCCAGGCCTCAAGGCCACCTGCCACCTCCATTAGGATCCTGTCCAATGTTCTTTGACTGAAGAACTCCTGTTCTTTGCTCACAAAACTGAGGGCTGTGACCAACCTGCCTTCTTCTGCCGCACAATCTCAGGAAGCGGCAGTGCTATTTCCTGAGTCTGAGACTATGAGTTGCTTTTCCACATAAGCGTCAGGGGCAAGTGTGCAGAAGAGGGGCTCCCCAAGTCCTCCTTGGAAGACAGCCCTGGAACTCTGTGAGACACCTAGGCCCTTGCATTCCCCTGGGAGGGCATCTCTTCTCAATACTGGGGTCCTCTTTCCTGTCCCTCCAGAATGATGTGTATGAATGGGCCCGAGATCACCGCGCCCACCACAAGTTCTCAGAAACATACGCCGACCCTCACGATTCCCGGCGTGGCTTTTTCTTCTCTCACGTGGGCTGGCTGCTTGTGCGCAAACACCCGGCTGTCAAAGAGAAGGGTGGAAAACTGGACATGTCTGACCTCAAAGCTGAGAAGCTGGTCATGTTCCAGAAGAGGTGAGTCAGGGTTGGGGGCGTGGAGCCCAGGGCACCTGGGGTTTAGAGACTCCACCTTTTCTCGTATATAATGTGTAAATAAAAGCTGAGTGATTTCTGGGTTTGTATGTTTAAGACCCATTTTAATGGCTCAGAGACCATAACGATACTTCACTGTTTTGTGCAGTTCCATGCACTTTGAGCAATTTTCCTGAACACAATTAAATGCAGTTTGATCTAACTATCACTGATCTAACTAGATAGGCATAGACATAAAAGTGAATATAGCTGAGCCTTTCCCCTCAAGGAATTTCTAGCCTATTGAGGCTAAGAGACAAGACAAGTATGAAATAATCATGATACAAGGCAGAATATGCAGAATATTAATCCCGCACTCAGGAGGCAGAGGCAGGAAGATCTCTGAGTTTGAGGCCAGCCTGGTCTACAGAGTGAGTTCCAGGACAGCCAGAGCTACATAGAGAAACCCTGTCTTGAAAATCAAACAAACAAAAGGAACTCAAAGGCAGATGGACAAGAACCCAGACAGCAGAACTTGGCCAACGAGGTGATGAGGCTGTGATTTGACCCCGGTTTGTCTGACGAACATAGTTTTGTTCCTCTGAGGAAAAGAATAATGGTTCTATGCTGGACACGCTGGCTTCCGGTGTTGTGACCCTAGAAAGTCATTCTGTGTGTCCACATTGCCTCATTTAAAATGTACAGAAGACCGTGTGTTCGAAAGATTATCCACCCCATTCTCTTCTGGGGTTTTCTGACCTCGCCCTTCCCCCATACTCATAGTGGGAGCAGGAAAAGCACAGGTACACTGTAGGAGTGGATGCTTAAGGTAGGTGTAAGAGTGACCTCTCCCTACACTCAGTGTGTGATCTCTCCACATAGGTACTACAAGCCCGGCCTCCTGCTCATGTGCTTCATCCTGCCCACACTGGTGCCCTGGTATTTCTGGGGAGAGACTTTTCAACACAGCTTTTATGTTGCCGCTTTACTGAGATATGCCTTGGTGCTCAATGCCACCTGGCTGGTGAACAGTGCTGCCCACCTTTATGGATATCGCCCTTATGACAAGAACATTGGAGCCAGAGAGAATATGCTAACTTCAATGGGAGCTCTGGGTAAGTCAGCTGTCTACAGCATGACCACATCCACTGGTCTACTAGTTAGGATTTTCTGCTATATGATAGACCAGATAAGATTTGTTGGTTTTAGTTCAGGATCTTACTCTGTAATCCAGGCTGGCCTGGAACCCACTGTGTAGCCCAGGTTGGCCTCAAAGTTGCAACAGTATCCCTGCCTCAGCCTCCAAAATGCTGGAATTGCAGGTATGAGCCATTACATATGGCTCCGAACTTTGTTTTGTTTTTTTTTTTTTCCTTTGGTTTTTCGAGACAGGGTTTCTCTGTGTAGTTTTGCACCTTTCCTGGAACTCACTTGGTAGCCCAGGCTGGCCTCAAACTCACAGAGATCCACCAGCCTCTGCCTCCCGAGTGCTGGGATTAAAGGCGTGCGCCACCACCGCCCGGCGCGAACTTTGTTTTTAATGATAAGTTGTGTCTCAGTTCTTCTATCTAAAACTAGGGTTTATTAACTGAGTACAAAGCCAGTCCGGTCTACATAGCAAGTTGCAGGCTAGCCAGGGCTACATAGTGAGTGAGACACTGTCTCAAAAATAAAGAAGAACAAAAAGCTAAACCAACTAGGTATTATATAAGAAACCCAATTGAAAGTCAGGCAACATGCCTACCATAAAAACGAAATGGTGAAGAACATCAGGTTCCAAAATGGTCTCCAAATGCCGTGTGTATCAAGCCACTTTTAAACAGGGTCTCACTGTGTAACCCTGGCTGTCCTGGAATTTGTTGTATAGACCAAACTGGCCTTGAATGCAGAGAGATTCACTTGAGTCAGTCTCCTACGAGCTAGGATTAAAGGTGTGAGCCTACACCCAGCCTACACCAGGCCCTCTTAAGTTTGTCCTTCCCTGTCTCCTCTGGTTGGCTAGGATCTCGCTTGCGTTAGGAAATGAATAAACTAAACAGCAGGGTCAGGAGCATAGTCAGTAAGCTCAGTGTTTGGCATTTAATCATGCTATGCAAAATGCATAGTAATTCCGACTTCGTTCACTCAACTCCAATTGCACCACCCTGAATGTGTTTTCATCTTTCCTGCCCTAGTTTTCTAAATCAGGTACTTTCTACCTCTAAACATGCTCTTACTTTGATCCTCCTGAAATAAATCACTTTCACTCGACAATTACTAGATTTTCATAGAATAATGTGGCCAGAGCTATGCTCTGTTTTGTGACTGGAAATGAGGTGAGCTTCTTCAACTCATATCCTCGTGACCAGCTGTCCGGAGTGGCTGCCAGCCTTTCTTCACCCCACGGTCATGTCTTATCTGGTCTTTTGTCTTTGTCTGCTTACCTCACCCTTGGTTCTTCTCCAGCTGTTTCCTGCCATGCTGGTTTTTTGGGTTTGGTTTTTGTTTTTGTTTTTTCTTTTTGGCTTCTTGAATTACCTCCCCCACTGTCATATGCTCAAGTAATCTGAGAAAGTTGATCTCTGAAGATTTCTTTTTTGACGTCCCAGTTGTTACACATAACCCTTGCCCCATTCTGTTTTAATTCTAATACTCAGTGCCTCCAATATAGAAGCTACAGTCCTTTGTTAGTAGCCCTAGCCAGGTGCTCTCCCACCCCCTGCCTCGTCTACACTGTGGACCACTCTGCATGCAGATAAAATGAATCCACAACCACCAGGAGCCCTGGTTAGAAGAGGTTCCGTGTCCCAAATCCCGTTACTTGCTTGTTTTTCGTATCGCCCCTAATCTCTCTGGAGACACTCAGTTTCCAACTCTCTTAGTAGTAGCTCTTTATGCTAACTTGGTGAAGCAGTGCTGTTCTTGTGGGACTCAGTCAGTGACAAAGGCCCTGCCAACAGCTGATAGTCTGTGCGGTTTTCATTTACCCGCCACGATAATTATCCTGAGTCGAAAGATGTGTGTTTTCTTTTCAAAGTGAATGCGCATCTCAAGAGTTCCCAGAATATCCAGTTAGAAGGAATCTCTAAGCATTTTCAGAGTGGTTCTGAATTCTTAGGACCTCCCTCACCCCAGATCAAAGAAGACAGCAGCCCTCGGGACTGCCTGGAGCTGAGGGAACGCTGGTCCTTGGCCTCCTTCCTTTGACTTTTGGCTGCTGATGTCCTCTCTGTTGGAACCTCCCACACTTGACAGGAAACACCAATAGCATGGAAAGCGTGAGCCTGCTTACCTCGGCTAGAAGCATACAGAGCCTCCTCTCCCCAGACCACGTGCACGCAGACACAGAGCCGGTGCCATCTTGGCTCAGTATTTATGTTTGCTCTGGCTTTTTCCAAGGAGAACCATTGTCCCAGTAAAATCATCTTCCCTCATCCAGTTATCACAAGAGAAACAGACTTCCCCCCAAAAAACCCACACACCATCAGTAAGTGAGATCGCACAATATATTTAAGATACTTCTGAGGTCACTTATTTCCTCAGGGTAGAAGACACAGGGTCATCTATTCAGTTAACAGCAGCAGAGTTCTCTGAGATTTCTCAAGGTAGCTTCTAGGTTAGAGGTGTGCTAAGAGCAGGAAGCAGCCATCACCGAGCCCCCTAACTGCTCTCCATGCTTCTGTTCCAGGCGAGGGCTTCCACAACTACCACCACACCTTCCCCTACGACTACTCTGCCAGTGAGTACCGCTGGCACATCAACTTCACCACATTCTTCATCGACTGCATGGCTGCCCTGGGCCTGGCTTATGACCGGAAGAGAGTGTCCAAGACTGCTGTCTTGGCCAGGATCAAAAGAACTGGAGATGGGAGCAGCAAGAGTAGTTGAGTTCCTGTTCCAAATGTCATCTGGGCAGAAGTTTAATGTTCTGCTGATGACTATAGAGAATGCTACAAGGATGCTAAAGATGACCTTAACCCACCGGGCAGTGGTGGCGCACGCCTGTAATCCCAGCACTTAGGAGGCAGAGGCAGGCGGATCTCTGAGTTCAAGGCTAGCCTGGTCTACAGAGTGAGTTGCAAGATAGCCAGAGCTGTTACAAAACAACAAAAAACAACAAAAAAACACAACAACAACAAAAAGATGACCTTTACCTACTCCTGTACAGCACTTTTTTTTTCCCCCTGAGAGAGGGTTTCTCTGGGTAGCCCTGGCTATCTGGAACACACTCTGTAGAACAGACTGGCCTTGAACTCAGAGATCACCTGCCTCTGCCTCCCAAGTGCTGGGACTAAAGGTGTGCAGCACACCACCACAGCCCTGCCGTGTACAGCACTCTTATAAAATGCTCAGGTATCAAAAGGCAATACCCCTCCTTTATGCTGCTGAGCTGATACACTTACCTTTTCACCCTGTCCTTTCTCTGTATCTCCCTCATCTCTTACACCAGTGGTGTTACTCAGCAGTTCTTTCTTGTCTAGCATCCTTTGCATAGTCCAGTAGTCAAGTCTGCCTCAGAAAGCTTTCACTGAAGCGCCCTGTACTTCAGGGTGGGTGGCTTCATCTGGAGATGCAATGAAGTCTGAGTAGGACATCTTAATTGTCATGAGTCTATGGTCTGCTAGATGAGAGAGGACAAGAACTTTACTTGTCAGAGTGTGCAAAGCACGCAAATTGTAATGGGAAAGGGTTACCATGCCAGGTATGATTCTTCAGCAGGATTGGTGTTATGTGAAATGAGTTATAAGGAAGTCTTTCTGTGATCAGACTCAGCTGCTTTTCAAGCAGCGATGGAACACCCCTCCCAACACACACACAGCACCCTTCCTTTCTGTCCTGAGCCCCAGAGCTTGGCAATGTCAAAACACAGCCGTAAATCCAACATCTAAATATTATTTAGAGTAAAGATCTAAAACAAGCATTTATGTAGTAAGTGGTCTCAGCTGGGAATGGAGTTGGCTTTTCTGTTATAACAGGATCTCTTGTTTCATAGAACAAGAGGTATTCAGGTAGGCTGTGTCCAGAATGGGTGAGTAAGACAATTCTTAGAGTTTTGAGCAGTCCATGAGATGCTGCTCACCCAACTTTCTTCATTACTCTGCTCTGTCATCTTTAGGATGCTAGACTGCCTCTAAAGGTTGTAAGATGGCTGTGGATTTATAAACTCCCTAAGCAAGAAAGGAGCAGGAAGAGCATTGGGCTGACCAGGACGAGTGGTGACCGAATTATCTGATTGTGATTCTGAGTTTCTATCTTTGAAAGACATTCATAAGGAGACACGGAGTAGACAGCAGAGGGAATATCTGGTCACCTGTTCCTCCCATTCCAAGGCAGTGATGGAGAGGTTGAGGGACAGTGTTGGTAGTTTCTCAGAAGTAACTTCCTGGAAGAAGGTTCTACAAGATACCCAGGGGATTGTCAGCTTCCTGAGTAGGGACTCTGTTCAACTGAAACAGTTTCAACGCCAGGTCCCTTTATTAATCCAAATTGCTCTTGGATTGATCAAATCTAGGCCTCTGCCTGCATTGCTATGCCTCTTCCCCCATAGTCCTTGCTCTGAACCATCCCGCCCTGCAGGACTGTCTTGGGGCAGGGTAGGAACCTCTGACTCAGTCACTATGCCTTCTTGGCTCTACCTTTCTCTCTTCTCCTGCTGCTCTGTTCTCTTCCTGGACTTGTCTCCTCTCCCCAGACAGGAAGCCTCTGGTGTGTACTCAGGACAGCCAGGGTCTGCATCCCAGCAGCTCCCCTCCTATAGACACAACGCCAAGGAGCTGTTCCTTGTCTTCAGCAGACAGAGCTGGTTGTCACGTTCCTAGGCCTCCAGACCCTCTCCACGTCCACCTTTGGGGCTTCTAGCACCTTGATGACCCCAGACAAACTCTTTTCTGCAAAACTGTTCTAGAGATATTGCTGGGGGGGGGGGGGGGGTTGGGGATTTAGCTCAGTGGTAGAGTGCTTGCCTAGCAAGCTCAAGGCCATGGGTTTGGTCTTCAGCTCTGAAAAGAGAGAGAGAGAGAGAGAGAGAGAGAGAGAGAGAGAGAGAGAGAGAGAGAGAGAGATTGCTGGCCCAGACAATTTCTCTCTCATAAGTCTTGACCAATCCAAATGCTGCTGATGTAGCTCTGAGCCAGCCCTGGAGCAGGCACCTGAAAGGTAGCAAGGACAACCTTGGCTTTGGTATGGCATTCTGTTCTCTGCACACCCTTCTCCCTACCTTGGATGTTCTTTCTTCTTGAAAGACTTGTAGGATCACAGGGTTGAGGCTAGCCTCAACTACATTATGAGACCCTGCATCAAAAAGAAAACAGAAGGAAGGGTAAGCCATAGGACGGAAGAAAACATGTGCAAACCATGTATCTCATAGGGGATGAGGCCTCAGAGTACAAAAGGAACTCTTAGGCCTCAGCAATAAAAAGACAAATAGCTTAGTTCTAAACTAGCAAAAGTGTCGGACCTCACATTTCCGCAAAGCAGAAACAGAGACAGTCAATAATTACACGAAAAGGAGTTCTTTATCAGTAACCACCCGGGTAGTACAAATCGGGAGCCCAATGAGTTAGCACGCCACATCCACTAGAATGGCTGTAACTATAATACTCTTAAAAAAATAGCAAAAAACAGATGTTGCTGAGGATATGGAAAAATTGGAACCCGTTGATGAGGGGCATCTAAGATGGCATAGCTGCTTTGGGAAACACAGTGGCCATTCCTCAGAAAGTTAAAATGTAAGGTACTGTGTGGCCCAGTAATTCTACTCTTTGGTATACCCAAGTGAATGAAAACATACGTCCACAAAAACCCATATACGTAAATGTCCACTGCTGCACTATGGAATAGCCCAGCACAAAAACAACACAAATATCCATCCAAAACTGAATAAACAATGTAATACATTCATATGCTGGTGTTTTATTCAGCCATAGAAAAGAATGAAGTCTTGATATATGACATGAAGTGGATGGACTGGACAAACACCATTCTGAGGCCAAAAAAAAAAACCCACAAAAGTCAGTATATTATATAATTCCTTTTATATGAAATGTCCTGAATACACAAATGAAGAGTCAGTTACCAGACTGAAAGTTGCCATGGGCGATAGAACAACAAAAGGAAGTGACTGTTAATAGGCATTGTTTTATGGGGACTGATGAAACCGTAAAAAGTTAAATCACTGTACTGGTTACCCAGCTTAATCACAAAGCCTGCATGAGGAAAAAATGTCCTGGACTTTTATTGTTGTTACTGTAACTTGTAGTTGAAACTCAAACCCAAATAAATGAATGAAGTGTTGGTTAAGTTCAAGTTTTTCATGAAGAGAAGCATGGTATATTCTCAACGCTGTCAAGAGTAAGTTCTTCGGTCTCTGACTGGCCGGGGGAATCACGAGAAGAGCGAGTCTCGTTACTGAAAGAACTCCAGATTCCACCTTCAACATCAGTTAGAAGGCTTAGGCACTGCAAACACACCAACTCAAGTTTCTCAGGAGCAGGAGACTCACATTCGGAGTCCACCAGATGGAAGACACAATGGCAGTTTCTGGTTGGATGATGCAGGACAGCAGAGCACTCAACCTGACCTTGACTCCTAAGGCGGCTGAGTCCCACTTCACCTCCCCACCCCCGACTCCCCTACGAGTTCTGCAGCTCTAGCACTTCAGCTTTGCTTCCTGGCTAACCTGGGCATGGAAGAAAGGGCACACCAGAGCCTGCTACTTCACCGTGATGCCCAGTGTCCCAGTGAGGTTTTCTGTTGCTGCAGTGAAACACCATGACCAAAAAGCTAGTTGGGGAGGAAGGGTTTTATTTGGCTTACACTTCCACACTGTAGTCCATCATCGAAGGCAGTCAGGACAGGAACCCAAACACAGCAGAAACCTGGAGGCAGGAGCTAATGCAGAGGCCATAGCAGGGTGCTGCTCACTGGCTTGCTCAGCCTGCTTTCTACTAGAACCCAGAACCACCAGCCCAGGAATGGCACCACCCACCGTGGGCTGGGCCCTCTCCCACCAATCACTAATTAAGAAAATGCTCTACAGGCTTGCTCACAGCCCAATTTTTTTCTATGTATTTTTTTAGGTATGAGTGCTTTGTCTGCACATATGCCTGAATGCCAGAAGAAGGCATCAGATCCCATTATAGATGGTTGTGAACCACTATGTGGCTGCCTGGAACTGAACTCAGGACCTCTGGAAGAACAGTCAGTGCTCTTAACCACTGAGTTATCTCTCCCGCCCTACAGCCCACTGATGGAAGCATTTTCTTAATTGAGGTGCTCTCCTTTCAGATGACTTTAGCTTGTGTCAAGTTGACATAAAACTATCCAGCACACCCAGTTATATCCAAAGTCAAAGCCTGGTGGCATGGACCTCCTTTCAGGCTGGCAATGGCTGAACTTGTGCCCAGGACCCCAGCACAAGATTCTGTAATAGCCCATCTTAACGTTCAGCACACCTGATTTTAAGCACTCCGCCTCAAACCACAGAAGTTAACCCGACACTGTTCTCTAGCTTTCCTACCATACTTTAACCTCCTGTACAGTTCTGGGCTCTTCACATGCATCTTAATCGATTGGAAATGTCTCTTTGTGCCTATGATCAGTACTCAGGGAAGTGAAGCAGAGACCTCATGACCTCTTTTTTTTTTTAAGATTTATTTATTTATTATGTATACAGAAGAGGGTGCCAGATCTCATTACAGATGGTTGTGAGCCACCATGTGGGTGCTGAGAATTGAACTCAGGACCTCTGGAAGAGCAGTCGGTGCTCTTAACCTCTGAGCCATCTCTCCAGCCCCCCCCCCCCCCATGACCTCTTTACATTATGTTTCCATGACAAACTATGGGAAATGTCACAGAGTCCAGTTCCACAACTGGTAGTTCAGTTTCTGGGGCATCAGCAAAGGGCTGATTCTTCAACACTGACCTTGGGGCAGATGCCACAGGCTCTAGGATCTAAAGAACTGAGACTCTATTCTGGGATTGCTAGAGGTGACTGACCCCACCCCACCCCTTCCACTGGGGGACACTGGGCTTCGCCCAGCTACAGAGAGCTCCTAAAGGAGCAGTGTGCTGCACTGACTCATGTTGGCTGTGAGCCCAGGGGAGGGCCTGGTCAGAAAGGACAGATGGGCCCTTTCCCTCTGGACCATGCCTCACGTAGGAGCAGTGAGTAGTGCAGGCTGGGCCAGGCCGTAACAAACACTCTGAGCCACGAGAGAACCAAGAGAGAGGAAGAAAAGCAACATAAAAGGTAACTTCGCTTATGTCACACATTTCCACTCTTAACTGGAGTGGAATTTCACAACATAAAAGCAGCCCCAAGTGAGCAATTCAGTGCAACGTACGTTCACAATATCTAACCACCGTTTTTTCTACAGCATTTTCTGGACTGTGTTGGCACACACCTTTATTTATTTATTTATTTATTTATTTATTTATTTATTTATTTATTTATTTATTTATTTATTTAGGAGCTGAGGATCGAACCCAGGGCCTTGCGCTTGCCCAAGCGCTCTACCACTGAGCTAAATCCCCAACCTCTACAACACTTTCATTACCCAAAACTTATAACCATTCACCAATGACACCTAATCTCATCACCCACAAGCCAGCCTTCTCCCACCCCCAGCAACAAGCCCTGTGCTCTCTGTATGAAGGTCCTTGCCTTATAGTTCACAGAAATGGAATTAGACAATTTATATCGCATGTCTGCTGTCCCACCCACACTACGTTTGGGGCAATCCCCCACTGTGTAGCATAAACCAGTAGTGCCAGGTTCAAAAGAAAACTCAGGACAAATGGCTAACTGTAGTGTGTGCCTATTGGCATACCAAAGAGTCTCCTGGCCTCCAGGCTCACTCAGTACCTGTGGCTCCTCTTAGCTCTCCTCACCCGCCCCCACCCTAAACTTCTCCAGCTCGCAGGCTTCTCATTCTTATATAACCTGCCCTCTTAGCTCCTGGTCTTGGCCCTCTCTCTTGCTCTCTCCATCTCTCCCTCCTCTATGGCCTGGTTCTCTACTGGCCATGTTTGGTCTACTACTTTCTCTCCTTGCTCTGGACTCTTCCAGATGCCTCTGGCTGTACCCTACTCATATTTACAATAAACACTTTCTCCTCAACCATACCTTGGAGTGGTCCCCATTATGAATGAACATTCAAGTAATCCTTCGCTCCTTGTTATTGCCTACCAGCCACTCGATGTGTGTACCACGGCTGGCGTACCAGTTCATCTACTGAAGAACAACTGAGTTGGCTCCACCTTTTGGCAAATGTGAAAAGTGCTTGCAAATATTTGCGCACAAATATTTGGGCATCTGCTTTCATTTGATTTGGGTACATATCCAGGAGTAATTGGCTTGTGTGTGATTCTATTTAACTGTCTGTGGGGTCACTAAGCTGTTTTCAATGCCTCGGCCATTTTACTTTCCCAGCAGCAATGTTTTAAGCATTGCGCTTGATTCTTCAAATAAACAAATCCCTTGCCTCCTTCCAGGAAAGCCACCCGCCACCACACACACACACACACACACACACACACACACACACACACACACCACACACACCACACACACACACACACACACACACACACACACACACACACACACACACACACACACACACCTGGGATACAGTGTGAGAGAAGCTGGACCTCAAGTAACAGGACGGCCAACAGCCAAAGCCTCCTGCCTTGCCTTTTCCAGAACAGGAATCGTGTTCAGGAGCAGGGAGGGCAGGCTGCAACCTGCCTGGAGTCACTGAAGGGCACAGACCTCAGGCATTCCAGCAACCCCGGCCAACACTACCGTCCTACGGACCTTCAGCACTCGGTGCCGACTGAATACCCCCGACATCCTCAGCGCATCCTGAGGGAGGAAGGCCGCGGCTGCATGCCAGGCCTCAGCCCTGCTCTACCACACCCGGTGCTCACACTCCTACCTGGCCATCAGCCAGCCCGCCCCTAGCCCCACCCGGGGAGCGGCCCCGAACCGCCGCCCATCACTCACAGCCCCGGGGTCACGGGCGTCCACTCGGCCCACAGCGCCTGACCCCGCGCAGCCAATCAGCAGCCGCGCCCGCTCCAATCCGGAGGCGCCGCCCCTGGCCCGCGGGATGCGCGCGCACCTTGCGGTCGCCCTGCCGTTTGGATCAGAGGGAGAGCTTCTGAGGGATGCCGTAACTACCCCACACGCCTTCCTCTCGGCCGAGGAAAAACGCAGATACCTCGGGTGTGGGCTCTGGTCCACCGCTGCCTTGGAGGTCTCGGGACCAGACGAAACAGGGCAGGGCGAGGCGGTCACGTAGGAGGCGGAGTGCCACCTCAGCAAAGCACAGGAAAGACTGAGTCGTGAAAGCATGCGAGAAAGCACGCCAGCCAAGTGAGGCTGATGTCACCAGGGATGAAAGAGTCGAGAATGCTTGCATGTCAGGCTACAGCTAGCCTGGCCTGTGTAGCGAGGAGCCCGTGTGTGTAGAGACCACAGGTTGACAGGGTGTCCTCGACTGCTCATTTTATTTGGTTGAAGCAAGGTCTCGCTGACCCCCGATCTAGGCTAGTTTAGATAGCTAGCTTGCCCAGGAATCCCGAGTAGCGTCTTGAGCGCCAGGTCTCCAGATGGACTTCCACTTAAGCCATGCCTTTGTGTGGGTGCGGAGGATCTGAACTCTGGTCCTCATAATTGCACAGCAAGCACTTTTTCTACGGAGCCATCTCCCCCAGCCCCTTACCCGGGTTTCTAAACCAAACTCGTAACACTCTTAAATACAAGATGAAGGTGTGGCTTTTCCTTTTGCCTTAACATATGTGCCACAACCTTGAAGATTGGATCTTAATTTACAATTCTCAGGTCAGAGTTCTACAGCTGGAGCAGTGACATGGGCAGACACCACCCACCCACCCTCGCCACTGAAACTTTAGCCCTTTCCAGAAAAAGAAGTTTCCTGGAGATTATTAAAAATCCCCCTTCACTGAATGTTCATCTTCTTCCCTGCGTTGGAGTTCAACACCACATACCAGGCTGTCTCCCCATGTGGGTGTTTCTGTTTTACCACACCCCAGCTCCAGCACCCAGTGCCAGGCAGTCCCCTGCAGGGGCCCCTCACCTGCATATACTGTAGGACCTGAAGGGGGAACTCCCGCACGCAAGGCAGAGGTTCCCTCCAGACCCCGACTCAGGCACCAACCACACCCAAACACCTGTTTACACAGAGAGATCCTTTATTAAGCAGGGAAGAAAAAGTGGGTGATTTCTGACTCAGGCAGGAAAACAGCAGCCTAGGACCTTGCAGGTG